CACACACTTTACGCGCTCTGGGAGGGCTTAGCGCCCCGCTTCAAGGAAGTATACTACGCCATTTGTGTGAGGTGGGGGCCGCCCAGTAGAGAGACGCTTGACGACATCATAGACGTTACTAGCTGGGTGGACTGTCTGAGGCCAATCGATCTGATTAGGTACTGCAGGAGACGCGCAGAGATCGATTACGCGGGGTTAGAGGATGTGAGATTTCTCTTCGAGGCCGCAGTCTAGGGAATGCCGGGAAGGACGGCCACGGTGATGCGTGTGGTAGAGCAACTGGTAAGCGCAGGATACACTGTGACAGTACTTCTCTGAGCGTACGTAGACGAGGACTTGACAGCGAGTGAGTGCAGACAATGAGCCAGGGATTTGATCCACGAGCGTAGAGCTGATGTATTGGKGCGAGTGACCTTCCAGACCTCGATTTCCTATGATGTGATGATATGGTCTCATGGTTATATGTGTGGGGAGCACTACCACGGTGAGACAGTAACGGAGGCTAGAGCGAGGGTGAGAGGATGAGCTGGAAAAAAATGTGGACTGAGTATGGAAGAGGAGAGTGAGGCAGTCGGAAGAGTCAGAAAGCGCGTTAAAGAACCACTCTTGAACCAGGTAAAGAAGTTGGGGAACAAGTTAAGGGAGATCTGGTTGTGCCAAGACGAGGGCAAGTTGCGTAGGGCTGAACTCGTGCAAGAGAGTTAGACAATCTGTTTAGGGAAGAAAGAGAGATTATCCAGGCGTGGAGATCAGACTTTTTGGAGAGGGTAAGGGCTAGAAGCGTATCACGCGAAGAAACTAGTGAGCGATATGCAGAGAGCGAGACAACGGAAGACAAAGTAACGCAGGGAAGTAGCGACGGGACATGAGCGGGACTGCACTACACACGACGGATCGGTACTCATTATATGTGGTAGGGAGACTGGACAGACCATTAGTGTTAGTGATCATAGAACTCCAGCTCCATACCAGACTGTGCATAGTTGAGAAGGCAGAGTGTGTCCGCCGCGCGCTGCGTGAGGCTAGGGGAACAAGACTTTGGATTGGAATAGAAGGGGGACGGAGGATAAAATACGTACTCCAAGTGACACCTTTCGAAGGGCGGTCTCGGATAAGGGCATGGTACGAGACGACCAGAGAGGCTGAGAGGTTGAAGATAAGAGAAGCTTGGAAAGCTGGAGAGTTAGGAAGAGTTGTAACAGATGGTGCAATACTCAGGGTGTTAGCCGCTCACGACCGGTACTGGAAGGAATCGACAAAGAGTTTAGAGGCGATAGACGATGGCGGAGATAATGAGGACTTTGAGACATTTTATGACATATTGGAGCGGTCGGCGATGAGGTTACAAGTGGTTATAGCACTAACTTACCTCAGCTGTTAGACAGATGACCTTGTAGGCGTCTGGGAGATAAGGTAGTGGAAATAGAAATTGGAAGCTCTTGGAAGGATAGAGGAAGCTAGAAAGGTCGATGGGCGACATTGGATGGCAAAAGGAGGGCCTTAAATGGGCTAACCGATTCAGGACAGGGCTAGGAGAACTAGCAAGGAGGACGGAGAGAGACGCTCGGAGACTCTTGAGGGGTGTTGAACAAGAGACATTGGCTAGGTTTGGGACTGCGATCTGTCTCAAGGATAGAGGTCCTGTCACGGGTGTACGGCAGATCCGGAGAGGCACGGCCTTGCTGGCCGATCCCGAAGGAGAGGTTTACTTAGACACAGGGATTCTTGGGATAGAGGGAGGACACGAGATCTGCGACCGGGAACGGGATACTGGAAGTGGCAATCAAGGCAGTCGAGAGCTAAGATTGGAGGCGGACGCGAGCCGTGACAAGGAAACAGGTCCGGGCTGCCGCATCTGTCACAGGTCCGAGCTGCAACGACTGTCATAGGGTCAGGCTGTAACAGTTGGCAAGAATACCTAATTGCGTCTTCTGGCGGCCGAATGGAACCCGACACGATGGGGCCACAACCGACCATGGGCGAAGCGGGAGAGGAGTATAGGACATCGCCCGACCGAGCTCTGAGAGAACTGAAAGAACGAATTAGGCAAGAAGCACCGCTGAGATGGGCTGACCAAACCAATGACGGAGGGTCCGACGTAAGAGGCGAACCAGTTGCGACAGAGCCGCAAAAGGCTCTAAAGACGGGTACCTCTAGCGGACGACGAGAAGCGACGAGGCGACGCTCCCCCGAGTACGAGCGGAGGGACACCATAGCGGACAGACACAAAGACGACTGGAGGGAGAGTTTGAGGGATTCCTATTGGAGGGACAGAGATAGAGATAGGGCGCCGCCCAGGGGCTATGGTATCACAGAATTAGAAACTTTGAAGATTTTTATCAAATGAGCCAAAATTTTGGTGGCATATACCTTATGCAAGGTAGAAGCCACATGATTGTTTTGATTTTTTTTTTTTTTTTTTTTTTTTTTTTTTTTTGCGCTAGGTCGGACAACCCTTGTCTGGTCCGAGACCGCCCAACGTTCGACGAGACGTCCAGTCGGACAACCCAGGGGTCCCAGACGTCCGGTAAAACAACCTAGACTTAAACATGATAACGTAAAACAAATATATCCAACATGGATACAAGAATGACCAATCAATATAATGTCCTATATTAAACCACCAATACCTCGCTCAACTATTAAATCAGAGCCTCCCCGCACGCTGCGCGCCAAGTCCTGCCGAACCGCCGTCGCATTTTTCTTTTTCATTTTGCCTGCGGCCTCCAGCCAATGCGGTCCGGCAGGCCGAAGCCCAAATGGCGCAGCGCGTAAACGGAAAGCGCCGCGGCTGATAGCTGGGCCAGGTACTGGTGGTTTAACAAATAAATCGAAATAACATCTTATATGCATTTTTCGTTTCTCTTTTATGATGCTTAATACCCGACTTATAATATTAGGGATATATGTGTGAACCTGGTTAGAAAACATGCCCTTGACCTCAAATGTCAAACACAACACTGTGGGATCCGCTTTGTAGGTGTTTGTTGCCTTCCCAATGCATTTTTTCTAACGCGATACCAACTAATTAGTGTCATTAAGAGTTCAGCCTAGCTCTTGTTTAATTGTCAAAAAGTTTATAGCTTTTAACATCGTTTTCTTTGCTGTTCTAAATGTTTAATTGTACGTAGGGACTATTCTTCATCTTTTAGCCACATCCTTGTTTTGGGGAATAGTGTATGTCACATCATATGATCCATTGTCATCCCATGATGCGACCTTGTTTAATCTCATAGCTGTATGTATACTTCTTGCTTACTTCAATATTTCCTATTTTGATATTTTAATCATTTCGTAATGCATTGACTCGAGTAGGAGTGATAAATGAACACTGATTATACATTGAAGTGAAGGGCGAATTCATTAGTTGTATATCTAAAAGAAATAAGTGGCACAGTGAATTTACAAAATCGTAGTGAGTCATTATTGATCTCTGCCATACTTGGTAGACAATTCTTCAAAGCAATGCATTGGTGCAGATCAATTGCATTCGGTTGGCAAACAAGAGATTTATGATGAATCTTAGTATGGACCTTTACATAAAGCCTAGGCCAAGTCGGCCAATGACTTGTAGAAGTAGTCATTGTTCCGAAGGATGGACTACGTCCTCGCCATCATCAATTGATTGAACTTTGCTCTTCCCTTTGTATAGTCCACCAGTTGCCTTAGGCACCTCACCCATCATAACTACTACCATCTCTCCATGCACTGATGCTGGCCCGCATCCATTCGAGTATTATCAACGACGTTGTCTGAACCACCATGATCGAGCGTTTCTCAGCTGGTCTACTCACTCCCCTACTGTCGTCAAGTGGAACAACCAGAGTTAGGACATGTGTCCCAAATTAGCCGACCTGTTGTCATGGTAGTAGTAATTCATTGCCTCCAAAATCCCCTCCTGTATTGTAAAACCCTGTGTATGGGTTCGCCACTCGACCGTGCATATCATGAACCAGTTTCTAAAACTGTACTTGTAGTGTGACTCCCAATTCTCTTACTACTGCTTGCCGTCAGACCTTTCTAATTCACACTTTCTTCTTCAAGCACTTGCAAACAACTGCTCACTTGTCCTTATTTGGTTTCATTTGGTTCTGATATACGCTAACTTTTATCCATTTGGTTATCATTCTCCTCCTTGATCTGGACAGGGATTATACTTCCTCAGTCCATCGCACCCCTGCCCACACACCCCTATTGCTCCCATCACCTTTGCAACATCATTCTGCCCATTAGTGCCCTCCTCCTTGGTAGATGCATCATGGTCTTGAGTAGTGGTCGTTTTTGCAGACGATGAGTTCACTGCCCTGCAAGTGGATGGTTCCTGCCTCAACAAAACTTTCCCAAACCCGTTGCTTCTCGTTGCTGGTCCACTGCCACCCAAGGGTGGATATGTGATGTTGTGGATGCTCGGGGTCCCCCATGGTCGTAAAAGAGGGGGAGGCAGCTACGAGAGTTGACGAAGTGTTCGCCGGTGTTGTAAACCAGGGCTGGCCCGGCTGGGTAAGACAGCCACACTTGCTCGGGAGTCAGGCCTGCAACATCAGTTAGAGGTCACTTCGATGATGTTGCCAAGGCCGCTAGGGTGAACTTCTCAGAGTGTTGAGCGACTCCCCACTTCGTCTGGTGTACTCTGATGAAAGATTTCAAATAGTTTCTCAAAGTTGATGCATGGATGCTATTCCGCTGCTGCCATATTCATTTGCCTGCATAAGCCCAGTGGAAAGTGTTGTCGATATCAATCACTAATCCCCTCCCAGTTCACAAGCTCCTATGGCTGATGAACTCGGATCCACTGTGGTGGCACATTCTCTACAACCGCGCGCGCGCGCGCGCGAGCGAGCGAGAGAGAGAGAGAGAGAGAGAGAGAGAGAGAGAGAGAGAGGTGGAAGATAGGTGGTGGAGCACCATGCACTCACACCGTGGATGATATATTCCAAAACTTAGAACATAGAACACCAAAATGGAACAAATGATAGACTGCTGCTGGGGTATACACAAAGCGGACTTACTGGGATTTACTGGGCTTTTACAGACACCGGTACAGAACTAGACAACCACATGGCTTGTGAGATCAGGCCCACAGCCCGGTCCCGTAAACGACCGCATGGTCTATGAGATCAGGCCCACAGCCTGGTCCCGTAGGTAGAATAGACACGAAGCCAAAACAAGCCCAGCCTCTTGCGGAGCTCAGAGATGATGCACGATCCTTGAACCTGGGGCCTCGCTGCACTACTCTTGGATCTTGAGAAATCAAGAGTTCATCACCACTGCACTAACTCTTGATGCCGCGTCCTGAAATTCCATTCATGAGCTGTCAGATTCACTCTAGAAAACATCGAGACTCCATAGTGAGTCATCGCTGCACGAAAACATCGAGACTCCATAGTGAGTCATCGCTGCACTAACTGTGGAAAAGTGCTCTTGGTCCGGCCCTTCAAGAGGTGTCAGAAACGGCCCATCGGACGAGCTCTTGAAGCTTCCACAGTTCCCGCCTGCAGGGGTGTTTTTTTCAAACCTGCAGGGGTGTTTTTTTCAAACAAGGCCGACCGGACCCTTCGTGTGGTTTGCAAATTCAAGAGTTCGCCTCCAGCCTCGGTGGACAAATCGTCGCTGCCCTGTCCTGCAGTGTCTTTTCAGTTTGTCCTACAGTCAAGAATGCTCACGAGAGTCGAGAGTCCGCAGTAAGTGCAGCGACGATAGCACTTGATGTCAATCCAGGAGTCTGACAGCGCTGGGCTTACTCTTGAAATTTTTCATGTGTCTGGCACATGCTCTCCACAAAAACAACAGAACTCTGCAACCATCTATGCTAGAATCTAGGTAGAGGAGGACGCTCCATGAGAAGAAGATGCAATGCAGCCTAAAAAATATCTGATATACAAGTGTAACCGTCAGCAAGAATGGAATAAATAAAAAATCAAAATCATAACTAACTTGAATAAAATTAATGAAATGATCACCGTCCTAGAAGTCGTGGAGGCCAAGGGTCTCACTGCTGAAAAGCAGACGCGGGCTTTCTGTTGTCCCCCTTTTCCGCTCGCCCTTAATTCGACCCACCCAATGTTTTTGTTGTACTGCCCACCCTATGTTGTTCTTGTACTCTCCACCCAATGTTTCTGTTGTACTGTCCACCCTCAGAAAACAGAAAACATCAAGCTGATCAGCATCACGCAGAGCACACGACACATGCTCAGTACACTGGACCAGCTATCAACTGTCGAAGTATCAATCAATACTCGAATTCATTACATAGAACATATCTCCACCAACGCATTGCAAATCCCAAGAACCACCATCCAAAGCCGATGTACCTATCGCGTTCCCCCTCCCGAAAGATAATACTCGAGTGGGGAAACCAAGAAGCGTTGCATTTTCGTCCTCTCGCCGAACCTACCTCCGTTCACTCTCACCCAAGCGTTGTCTGTTCCTCCTCTCGCCAGACCTACCTGCCCAAAACTGTTATTAAAAAATTAACCCCCACCCAACCTGTCCACCACCCTAAGAAAACTGTCACCCAGCCCCGCCTTCACCCATGAAACATCACTTGGCGCCCACACCCGGGAATCTAGAGGTCTACGGTGGGTAGAACTGCTCCTTTTTCCAAAGGAAGAAGGACACTGGAATGGGGGAGGCCAGTCTTTATGTCCCGTGGGTGTTCTTTTGGAGCCTGAGCAGCTGGACCCAGGCCCTTTTTTTTTCCTTTTTCGCAGGTGGTGCCCAGCTAAATCCAATCCAAGGTCTTTTGTTTTTAAAGGTGAAGGAAGGGGAGAGGGGGGAGGGGGGGGGTACATGTCTTTGGCTGATCCTGGGTCTGGCAGTCAGGTGACCCAGGGTGAACCATCACCCTCCTGTCATCCACCCATGGGGTGACCCAGACATTCTTCGCAAGCTCATCACCCAGAGAGGCCGGCTGCCTACACTCGTCTGTGATACACCCAAGCCCACTCCGGTAGACCCAGACGCGGCCCCATCACCTTGTGGGTCAGGTGGCTGTAATTGGGTGTGGTCCTGGGCACCCAATGGCCACCTCTGGTGGGTGCCCACCCAGCACCAACTGAACGTGCGCAGCGACGGTTGAGGGTCGACGAGATCGATCCCGACCTCCCCGTGGCGACGCCACAGAGCTACCACCTTTTTTTTTTTTTTTTTCCTAACCAGAGCTGCTATCCTTGTCCTCAACGAAACTCGTTCAACTTTGGCCAGACCTAGACCTTGTCCTCGCTGCACTACTCTCCACATGCATAAAAGACAAAAACGATGGTAATGTATCTTTCTATGTTCTACGGGAAGATTCACTCTCGTTTTGCCCGTTCGCAGAGTAGTTCAGCGACGCCCTGCTTCTGCCACACACCCGAGTATGGAGTTCCGCAGGTGAGAAGCCCTCTCTCTCTCTCTCTCTGTGTGTGTGTGTGTGTGTGTGTGTGTGTGGGGGGGGGGGGGGGGGGGGGGGGGGGGGGGGGGGGGGGGGGGGGGGGGGGGGGGGGGGCATGGCACACGAACACATACAAAGAAAAAATCAGGGGAAAAAACGTGGAAGAGTCCTTCAGGACATCCATTAAAATTGGAACATACAGAGAAGATTACCATGCGCGTGTTCCCCTTACTATACATACATAGAATGGCGAGAGGATGAGATAAACGAGTATATCGAAAGATTGAGGGAAGAATATAACTTAGTTATATACAAAAAAAAAAAAAAACTAAAAACAATCGGTACAATCATACCTTGTCGCGCCACAGTTCCCCGGCAGAGCCATATGATCCGCCACATGCGGACGCGCACGCGTGCACACACACACACACACACACACACACACACACACACACACACACACACACACACACACACACACAGGGTCGGTGTGAGTGACGTCGATCACTTTAAATTTCTCAAGGGTATCGCGAACTTTGGTGCAATGTGGTGAGTCCTTATGCATTGAATTTAGTCAAATGCATCCTCGGCAGACTGTCGATGTTGGAAGTTGAAAGTTGAACCTCCTGCTGAATCGGTGAAACTTCCGTGAAAGTCCAAAGAAACAGTCTGCCACAGTAATGCTTTTCTTTGTAGAGTTGTCTATCGCCAACATGACAACACACACACACACACACACACACACACACACACACACACACACACACACACAGAGAGAGAGAGAGAGAGAGAGAGAGAGAGAGCAGGCTTCCGAAACGAAATTCAGTACTACTACTACCGGTAGTAATAAATTATAATAGTAATATCAGTCGCTTTATTTCAAACCTCAATTAACCATAATTGTACATAGCGAACGGTAAACGAACGCAATCAAGATAAGTTTCCGTCCGGACAAGCAGCCCTCGACTGGGCAGAAGCGCATATACGGCACTCGGTGGAAGGCTGGCACCAGCTCTTCGGAATCCTCCTGTGTCTGCGTTGGCATGCGTACTCATACCTGAGCCTGCGATATCTTTTCCTGTTCTTTTTTTATCTTTTCTTCTTTGCACGATCTGTCAGCGTGCGAGAGATCGACGGACTCACCTCAATTAAGCAGAGCAGCCACACAATATGCTCCTCGGGCATGACGAAATGCGCGACAGACTCACCTTAAGCGATCGACGGACTCACCGAAAGCAGCCCAGCCCAGAAATTACCAGCGCGATTAGAAAAAGACAAGGTAGAGCGACGGCCAAATGAATACAGAGCTGACCATACGAATAATCCGATCTTGCATCCGGCTGCGGTACAACGTGGGCTGCCGCGGCTGAATCCTCGACGATGACTGGCGTTATCCACTGTGCTGATCGCATGGCAGCCAAGAGATCATCCCTCTCCTTAACGACTTCTTCACCCACTTTTTGCTCTCGCTGCCATTCTAATAGCTCGTGAAGCTTCCGGTGAACGACCTCATACAACTCCGACGCTGACGACGACGAAGAAGACAACGAGGACAAGTCGCCGAAGACAGGAAAAGGTTGAACTTGATGAACGCCGGACGGGTGGTTGTTCACGAAGTGGATCGCAAGAGGGAGAAGAGATCTGATCATTCTCATCACACGTTTTTCTATATCTCGGTCCCATTCGGATACCATCTTATCCATAGGCATGTCCGTACAACTAGTACTAGTACTAGTACTGGTAGTAGTACCAGTAGTAGTAGGAGCAGTACTAGTAGAAGGACGAGGAGGACTGGTAGTCGTACCAGTAGTAGTAGAAGCAGTAGTAGTAGTAGTAGGAGGAGGAGGAGGACTGGTAGTAGTACCAGTAGTAGTAGAAGGAGGGGGAGGCTGTCTCTTATACACATCTAGATGTGTATAAGAGACAGGTACTAGTAGAAGGACGAGGAGGACTGGTAGTCGTACCAGTAGTAGTAGAAGCAGTAGTAGTAGTAGTAGGAGGAGGAGGAGGACTGGTAGTAGTACCAGTAGTAGTAGAAGGAGGGGGAGGAGGAGGAGGAGGAGGAGGTGTACTGGKAGTAGTACCAGTAGTAGTAGGAGCAGTACTAGTAGAAGGAGGAGGGGGAGGGGGAGGGGGAGGGGGAGGGGGAGGAGGTGGAGGCGGCGGCGGCGGCGGCGGCGGTGGGGGGGGAGGAGAAGGAGGACTAGTAGTTATAATAGTGCTGGTAGTCGGAGAGTTGGAATTGGCGCGAACGAGGAGAGTTACCAAATTAGGAAAGATTGAAATGAGGAGATAAGCAAGTGTCGGATCCACAGCTGATTCAGCGGCGGCGCCGGGTACGGGTGCCCGTTGGCGGGCAACAAATTTACGCACGATCACTTCGGCAATTTCTAAGACTCGTTTCAAGCGGAGGCCGGTGTCCCCCTGCCCCTCTGGGATCAGGACTGGAACTCCCGGGGACACGAACACTGGGATTCCCTCGGAGGGTTCCATGTGACCCTTGGCACTCTTGGAACTCTTGGAACTCTTGGAACTCCTCTCTTGGAAGTCTTCTTGGAAGTCTTGGAACTCTTGGCACTCTTGGAACTCTTGGGACTCTTGGAACTCTTGGCACTCTTGGCACTCTTGGCACTCTTGGAACTCTGCTTGGAACTCTGCTTGGAACTCCCCGCCACCAGAACGATCGCTTTCTAACAACGCAAAAAAAATGATTAAAAGAAAACGATTCTCAGCAAAGCAAAGCAGAGATCAAAGCAAAAGAACAAAGACAACAAGCGAAGATCAACGCAAGTGAGTCATGACGTCAAATTTGTCATATGTAAGAGTAAGAGGGGGGGCTCAACGGAAAGCTTTAGTTTATGTACTAACGGGATGCGTACTACGTGTCTGCTTGGCGTCCGCGACGCAGAACAAGCACAGGAGAGGGGTGCAGATGATGGGACCAATCAAAGAGACGCAGCAAGGGAAGATCTGAAGAGCCAGCTACTGGTAGTCGGAAGAAACATCGCGATGACCTCTCCCTGCTAATCAATCGTCGCCTCCCAAGGATGTCGAAGGAGAGCGATGGTAACAGTGATCAATGATCCAATCAATCAATCAATCAATCAAGCCAAGAAGATGCAAAGCGCAAACACGGACCTGAACAGGACGCACGTTTTCGATGAAGGACGAGTAAATCCCCCGATCATCAAGTAGGGAAATGGACAGGAGGGGCATGGAGCCTGAAGGCAGCAATCTATCAACGGGATGAACGGGATTGCGCTGATACAAGAGAAATCCGGTAATGATTCGCAGACGAAGGAGAGACTGACGATTGCGGCGATCCCGACACACCGAAGGTCAGACGTGTGATAGTCCGTCTGACGCGGACCTCACTGTAGCGATGTCGGCGTACGACACTCATAAACCTCGATCCCGGCGGCAATTGTGCGCGCCTAAGGACCCGAACAGTCGACGCCGGCGCCGATTCCGCATGCCAGACTAACAACGGCGATCCTGGCACCGGCGGCTGTGCGCACGTGGACCCCAGCAGCAAAAACCCGCGTCGTTGCACTGACGTCAACGGAAAACGTTGCTCCGGCGATCATTCACTCCCCTCCGTTCCGGGCATGAACACCTATACACACGACCGCACTCCAACCGCGATCCCGGCGAGCAGTCCACACCGGCGCCCTCGCACGGACATCAAGTGAAAAAGTCGCTTCGGCGATCATACGTTTCGCTCCGTTCCGTTTCGTTCCGTTCCGTTCCGTTCGTAATCACCTACACACGACCCCTCTCCAACCGGGATCCCTGCAGCAATTGTGCGCCACTCAAACCCGAGTAGTCCACACACATCGTCGTAGCACACAGAGGTCAACGGGCAACGTTGCTTCGGCGATCCGCGATCCCGGCAGCAAGTGTGCGCGTCTGAAACCCAAGCAGTCCATACCAGCGCGCTTTTGCCAATCCGTTCCGTTCTGTTCCGTTCTGTTCCGTTCCGTTCTGTTCGTGATCACCTAGTATAGTACGTACACATGACCTTACTTCAACAGCGATCCCGGAAGCAATTGCGCACGCCTAAAGCCCAGGCACTGCGGCACCGGCGTTTTGGCACTGACGTCAACGGCAAACGCTGCTTTGGCAATCATTCTGGTTCACGATCATCTACAGAACGATGATGACAAACAGCGCCCTCTGTCATTGCAAAGCGCCTGCTACCTAGGCAGCGGGGATGACAAGCAGATGACCCCTCGAGATGACCCCTCTCGGCTCAGCAACCGGCAACGACCGAGTCTTCAGCGTTCTGCGTGTACGGAGGGTTAATCAGAGCACTGACCGACCAGTAAAGGCATCCAAAGGGGAATGAATCCCCTGCGACCTGATCGGGAAGGAAGAGGATCCGAGCCCACAGTTCCAGCTGGGCGTTTCGTCGTCGATATCTCACTCTCGCGCTCTTCGTGAACGCATGAACATAACTAACATACAAGAAAAGTGCAACCGAGAGAGAAGCGGATTGATCCGTCGTCGATAGCTCAGTCTCCCGCTCTTCCTGTCTATCTCCCAGTCATCGACCCTTCGTTGCTGTGTGATTGATCGATCAAACAGGAAGTAGCAGCCTAGAAGAACAATAATACTAGAATAAGAAGAAGAAGAAGAAGAAGAAGAAGAGGAAGAAGAAGAAGAGGAAGAAGAGGAAGAAGAAGAAGAGGTTTCAACTCGGCACAGAATAAGAGGAGACGTGATCGTCATAAGATGACTTCATGCCTGTTGCCATCGCTCCGCAGCGTCCGGCAGTTACTGTTATAAAGTAATATAAACAATAAGAAGAAGGAAAAAAAGGCATCCAGCTACTGGCATGCATAAAACCAGTCATTACCCATTCGCTGCTGTGGAAGAAGCGCAGTCGCAATGTTCGAGAGGCGTCATCTTCCGAAGTCCTCCCTCTGAACGACAGGAAAAGGCCAAACAATTTCGATCATCGCCATCAAAGCAACCTCAGGAACACCCCCTCCCCCCCCCCTTTACACCCTCCCTGAACCCCCAAAATCATCCGACCCCCCTTCCCTCCATCCCAGCTCCAACACCTTTGACGATTTCCAGATCAAACACGAAGGCCGTGGCTGCTTCGCCCACGTCCTGCTGTAAACTGTGTTCCGCTTTAAGCTGCTGTAAACGGAGCTTCATGAAACCGTCGCACAGTCTGAAAAGAACACAAAAACAAAAAAAAAAACGCGAGATCGTTTCAACGTGCGACAGCAGCGTCGATCACTGGCTGCGACGAAGAGACAAGTGACGTCAGCAGATAACTCTACGCGAGCGAGCGCTGCGCTTTTTTCTTCCACTATATAAGTAATATCTGCAGTTCTTTCTCCCTCCTCCTCCCTTCTCCTCCTCCCTTCTTCTGCCTTCGCTCTCCTTCTACCCCCCTCCTCCTCCCTCCTCCTCCCCCTTCTCCCTCCCTTCGTGAAGGTCGTCCTCCTCCCTCCTCCTCCCTCCTCTCACCTTCTCGCTTCACCTTCAAACACACTCTCCGGGGCTCCAATACCCGTTGTGAACAAGACAGTACGAGTCGCCCCTGCCAACAAGGTTCATTACTCCTTTTGCTCATTTCATTTTTTTATATTTTTTTAATTAAAAAAAAAAATCAACATATGGCGCATGTTGATAGGGTTGTCGGTCGTCTGCACAGTCGACCAGTCGGTCTACGTAGCGGACACGTCACGTGTTTCCCGCGGAAATATCCTCCTCCCAACTCGGATGGATAAAGCGCATGCACGCAGCCCGGGGCCAAGTCCCACTAGCAGACTCGAGTTTTCGAAACGCTTGAAACGCCTGAATATATGGACTCGTTTGTGGAGATGTGCAGAAATGGCGTTTAGTTTCGTCAACTGAACATGTCCACAACCACGTCCAGAATCAGGCGTTGAGGAAACGCTGCTAGTGGGACTTGGCCCCCGGAGACATTACCTGTCAGGGGAAAAACACACACGCTCTGAGGATACTCAAACTGAAATTTTGAAATTTGAAAAAGAAGAAAAGTGCATAGATACATTACATTTATCTACGGGGCCAAGTCCCACTTACCCGAATGATCGATTTCTGACCGCAGATTTGGAAGATCAACGACTAGAAATCAAGGATCAGCGTAAGTGGGACTTGGCCCACGGTATGCGTGCGGAATTATGTGTTGGCCTCTCCGCGCCTCCGCGCCACTTTCCGAATGTCTTTTTTTTTTTTTTTTTTTTTTTTCACTTACCGAATGTCGTTGTATGACTCCATGGTTCCCCCGAATACAACGTACGGTCATTATACTATGATATAGCTGAATTTGGTGGATCTTTATGTCTAAATTCAGCTATAATAACCGTACGTTGTATTCGGGGGAAGACTGTAGCAAAGAGGATTGGATCTGATGCCCGAATCTGGACGTAATTGTGGAGAGGTGCAGGAAATCGAGATTTAACTGCTTTTCTGCACCTCTGCATAAAACACATCCAGATGCAGGAGCGTTATCCTATCTTCTTTGCTAGTGGGACCTCGGCCCATGTTTCTTCAAGTTGGGGAAATTCGTTCTCCCAAATTTGGACATGATTTTCTGCGTTTGGTGAGTGGTGTGGCAAGCGCAACTCACCAAATGTGAAAAGGATAAAAGTTATGTCCGTTTATCACTCCATGTTCTTGGGGAAATTCATTCTGATTTTCCACATTTTGCTGAGTGGTGCGTCCAGGCCCTATGTAGGGCCTCGCCACAACACTCTCGAAATGTGAAAAGGACAAAAAATTCGCGGGTGCATCTGGCCATGTTCTAGCGGGAAATTCATTTTGATTTTGCACATTTTGCTTAGTGGTACGTCAAGGCCCTATGTACTCGCCTTTCAGGCTGATTGGTGCAAACATGTAACGGCTCAAGAACAGCTCAGGAACTCAAATTGCTATGCTAATCTTCTCTGTCCCGCACAACGATTGATAGATTTTCTGGGGCCTCACTCCACTACACAACACTGTACATGCATTTGGACTCTGGAGGCTTTAAGGACCAGGTGCATTCGGATGATTCCAACGTTGTGAATGTCTCCGGTCAAGAAAGAGTCCAACTGCATGTACAGTGTTGTGAAGCGGAGCCAGGCCCCTCGTGTAGAGGCATCCCGTGAAACAGGCCCACAATTTTTTTTTGTTATTATTTTTTTCTTAGGCCCACAATTTCATTTCCCAGCGTTTTTGCTGCTGTTTTTTACTTATTTTTTTCTTTTTTTAGAAAAAGAAATTAAATCCATTTTTGCCCGGTGCCCAAGGCAATGCATCCAGCAGTTCTCAGGAGAGCGGAGAGGTTGTCCTGCTCCCCCAGGAGCTTGGAGCACCTCCCCTCATCATCTCCTGTTACATACCCAGGGCCAAGTCCCACTAGCACCGTTGAGCTACCTCAACGCCTGAATCTGGACGTCCTTGTGGAGAAGTGCAGTTCAGGAAACTCAACACCATTTCTGTACATCTCCGCAAAAGCGTCCACATTCAGGACTGGGCCCCCGGTACCTATCCGCCTACCAGCCACACCAGGCCCACCGAAATCCGCAGAGAATGCACCCAAACTGCACCTCTTTTCAAAGGGCGATGGCCTTGAGATATCATCGTCAAAGTGAGTAGCCCCAGGTAAATTCAGAGTAACTTACTCGTCTGAGGGCACAAATGCACGTAAAATAGCACTGTGTAACTTCTTGGGTCACACATTCGATATATTTTGCGAGTTCACGTATCTGGGTACGTATATGTCAGTGGCTGGGAGCAGCGGGCATACCTTTTTTTTTTTTTTTTTTTTTGGGTCACACATATTTTGCGGACACCTCTGGAGGTGCTCGCAAAATATTTCTTTCACTATTCACAATTGAAATTTCTCTTTTTTTTTGCTGGAGGGAGAAATTTTGTGTCTCATCCTGCATGACTGGTCGAGCTCTTGTCTTTTCTGTTTTATGCTGGATGGGGGAGAGCTGTCTGGTGTGTGACCAGGGGCCTTGTCCCAGCCAACTCAAAGGTGTGACACCCATAAAAGGCTTTTTAAAATCGAAAAAAAAAAAGAAACAAAATTTTAGATGGCATTGGTAGTATTACCGGGGTTTTGTATTTGGTAAATGTTTTTGTGTCTCGTACGCATGTCATAATGACGACTGGGGGGGGGAGCGCGCGAGAGTGCGCTAACGCAGCGGCGATAGCGGCGGTGGCGGCACCCGGTCGTCGTTAGTCGCGGCTGAGTAGGATGCAACGTCGGGGCATGAGGATGCTGATCTTTCAAGAGGCACCTACCCTGCCAGGCACCATTGCTGTGTAAGAGCTATGGCGACAGTGCCCTGGCATAGCCTAGCCCTTGAGTGGGTAGGGAGTGCCTCTGCACTCTTACGCCAAGGCATCCTGGCAGCTTTGTATCTGACCTGTATACCAACCTCTATACCAATCTACACTTATGAAGCCATTGACATCAGAGGAGCCGTCCTCCCCATAACTGCAGGGGGGGGTCCTTTTTCACCATCTATTGACAGCGTGGTTTATCTGATTACACGCCATATCGACTGTCAAGGTCTTACAGTACTCAAGTCCTTCGGAGTTTTGTTGAAGACCAGCTAGAGCGCCAGCGGAGGCAGTGGGAGAGCTTACGTTGGTGGTGGGACTGTTGCCGGCACTGCCAAGGGTGAAATGTATTTTAGTCAGTATCTGGCAATGAAGGCGGTGATATTCTTCATTTGCACTCCAATAAGAAGTGGATATGTATGTGTTTTAGTCAGTATCTGGCAATGAAGGGGGTGATATTCTTCATTTGCACTCCAATAAGAAGTGGATATGTATATCAGATCACCCACCTCACTTTATCCACCGCAGTCGTGCAGGCCTTCGAGCCAGATCTCCCGGGTGCGAGATTCACACAGCTACGACACCAGGAAGAAGGAGACACAGAAGCAGCAATCTGCCAACTCATGAGAATCCGAGTGGTGGAAAACTGCAACCACGACAGATGGGTATACGAGTCTAATACACCGATCAGCAGACTCCACTTTGACCCGGCTGAGTGGGAATATACGGGAGGTGAAGGAATGCAGATCTGGGAGTATATGGTTAAAGGAGGGTACAAAGCAGCACGGACCCTGCCTCAAACCCAAAGCACGCTCATCAAAAGATGGGAGAGAGACTCACTGCTCCAGGCAGCAGACCTGCAGGACCTCAATTGGTCTACATACGCCAAGCTAATGCCCACAGCCCACCGACCCCTTCAGTGGCAGGTCATCCATGGATGCCTGCCCACACCTGATTGGCTAGTTTCACGGACAGACTTGGAACAGAGAGGTATCCTCTCACCAATCTGCTCCTTTTGTGGGAGAGCGACTCAACCAGCCAGAGCAACCCTGGAACACTGTTTGCTAACGTGTCCAATGGTTGCCCAGCTATGACGATGGTGGGATTCGGCATGGCACCACCTCACAGGTCAACACCTCCCATGGGATCCTGCACTAATCCTGCTGAATAAGCGCACTCCCGAAACTCGACAGTGGGATGCCTTCAAAACAAACCTATTCTCCTACACCCGTCTGACAGTCCTGCTCCTAGCATGGAGAATGAGGTGCTCCCATGAACGAAGTGGTTGTGCTTTTAGCTTCCCCCAGGCCAGGGAAGCAATCATCAACACAATTGCCACCCATACACAACAGGCAGGGAAAGAGCTAAAGCAACAGCTGCAATCCTCCAACGACCACCTAGAGAAGCAGAAATGCCTGGCCCTCTTCCACTCCA